TATACAGCGAAAAAAATAATAGTAATAATAATAAAAAAAATGAACAAACTGCAAAAAAGGATATGAGACATTCTTTCTTTTTCAATTACAATTCAAGAATAATCCAAGAATATTTTCAGATTAAAATCGGCAGAAAAATAAGAATATTCAGCCTGGCCCGAAAAAAACAACATTTTTATATGAAAAAAGAGTGTATAATCAAAATGGGACGTTTTTATCCAAACGATGATCACTACTCGATGTAGTTTTAGATATAAACGTCTCACCAGCGTAGTGAGCTTTTCGACTAGTTGTAGGCTTGGCTGACTTTCATTTCTACTCATCCTGATATATAATTGCAAGCAGAACTACTTTTACTATTACCGCTTTTGCTTTGTTAATCCGCAAAGGCGGTAACCACTGCGCGGATATAGTACGCACTGACCTCACCAACACTTTGATTAAGCTTTTTAGCTCACCCCAATTCAAAAACACATATTAACTTATTCCAAACGGTAGAGGGATCAAACCAAAAATTTGTAGGCCCGGGCCTACCGGTCTATGGGCTGGCCACACCCCTGCGTCTGTCGTATGAATACGATATGACATTTTCCCTCGACTTAAAACCGGCTTGTCTGTTTTCTTAATAAACGTGCCAGGTCCTTGAACTGCAGTCCAGGTTACACAGGAAAGTAAAGGTCTGCAAACCCACGTCGAAGTGAGCAGAGTTCATTAATTTCTACATTTTGTACGTTCCTTTCAAAGCCAATAAAAAGTATTCATGAAGCTTGGCATGCCTGTGATCGTAGTACAAGTGAGCCGGCTGAAAGACCCGCCTCAACCGGGGTTCCTTCAGATTAAGCGACCATTTATTATTTATGCCACGGGGTGGGCTGTCAAGAATGGGGGGTCGGCCACGTCAATGTAAGGACAGCCAGAGGGTGGTCATCAATAAATCTGCACACAAAGAGGGGGGCTACCTGATTTTTTATTTTTGTTTTCTTTTAAAACAAATACTTTCAGTGCTCTCGGGACTAACGGTAAATGGTTTGCAAGCCTCCTAAAGGCTAACAGTTCATAACTGGCAGTTTTAAGCTAATAAAGAAAACAGTCACAATTTCTACGAAATGATAATTTATGTCCCAGTAATACGTCCAGAGGTCTTCCTCGTTAGCTTGGTCTCTGAGGAGTTCCCACTACTGCAATGATCAACAGAAAGGTCAAGCTCGCAGTCACTTATTTCGACAGAATTACTACAACCCTGGTCAAAACGTCTTAGGACACTTGAGGAAATTAGACAAAAAGACGCACTTTGCTAAATTAACTCATATTCTACCTCTTAAAAAAGCTGGGGATGTTGTTATAAGGGGCTATTTCTGCTGTCCCCCTCTCCCCCAAGCAGTGTTGATTTTGTTGAATTAAAACTTGAATGCATAACATCAACATTGCACCGAGGGCGAAGGGGGGAGGGAAGATGCCTCAACTTGACAAGCTATTGTGTTAGTGTCCCAAGAGTTTTGACCAGGGTTGTAGAAGACAATACTTCTTGCTCTTCCCTAGAGACGTTTGCGTCTATTTCTAAACTTGTTTGAAAGAAACATTGATTGGTTGGATTTTATCGTTCTTTTTATCTTGCCTTTAAGTGAAAGTTTAAAATGAAATAAATCCTTTTTTCCCTTTATCTTCTGGATTTTACCAGCGTGAAATAGAGTGTCCCAGTTAATCTACCCGGCTGTCTTACTTACATTCTGTAGAGGGTTGCCACTCGCTGGAAGTGAGCTTCACGGAAATCTATACTTTTTTATGTTCTGTCAGCCTGGTTCGTTTTTTATCAACGCTTTATCTTTGACCAATACTCTTTACTCTGGGATGAAAAACAAACTCTCACTTGGTTTTTCTGATACAAAAAAAAAAATCGAAACCTAACCGTGTCAACGATCCTTGCGGCTACCGTCATTGGCCACTTTTCAGGCATTTTTCGCATTCGTCCCTCTTCCATTTCTGCATATTCCTGAAGAATCAGGGATAATACGTCGTTTTCTGAACCCAAAAAACCGTTTGTGATGTATTCCCTGTCTATTTATTATAGTTCCAGCACAGGAGAGAGAGCAGAGTATATCACTGGGGATGAAAAGGGTCTGGTTGATATTGTGGTGTAGACTAGTTCAAACAATCTCTAGCTTGTGTTTTGAATTTTTGTTCTTACATACATATTTTTTTTCTTGGGGGAAGGGGGGTAGCCAGTTTTTAAAAACACATTTAGAGGGGTCTTGATTTTTTTAGTTCTCCTTGGAAGGGCTCAAAACGTTTTGTTGTGCTTTCTGATAGATCTTACCAGCCAACCCCCTGGCGTAAATAATGAATGGTCTCTAAATGGTACTCGAGTTTTTTTATAGTATTGTTGAGAAGAATAATCCCTACATAATTAACTTTGTGTATTTTAATTAAGTTATGGAATAAGAGTTGCTTGGTAAAATAATGGGATCTGTTTCTGTTGCGGAGCCTTGAAGTGATCTAAATGCTCTAGGTACCTTTTCTTTTTCTGAAATTCAGGTTTCTACAACAAAATTAACTAAGCATTTTGTTTTCCTTTCATGCTGACAGCTTTAAAAACTGTGCCAAGTGGAAACGAACGAGGCTGTTTATTTAAATCGGTTGCGGTTATGTCCGTGGGTTGTTAACTCTACTCAAATCAGCCTTTCCGGAACGTTTCCAGAGAGAGTACGGTCCACAAGCTAAGCAATTGCAGGTAGTTGGAAATACAAGCAAATACGGTATTGGAGTGTTTTGTTTAAAATTAATGAACGAAAGACATTTCACCCCTTATATTGACTTAAATGTAGTGTTTGCTTTAATTTGTTTTTCTATTTTTACTAAAAAAGATTAAGCAAACATAAAATTACAGTTATTTGAAAGGAAGACTAAATAAGCGCCCCCTTGATGAAGCGCCCTGTACAGTACCGCAAATGATCCCCAAAATGGACCACAAATGATCCTCGACCGTAAGTGATCAGCAAAGTCGGCCGCAAATGATCCCGTGAAAAATGGACGAATGGAATGGATTGCATGGGACTGATTACAAAAAAGGACTTATTATAAAAGGAGCCTTTTTCTCTCGACTCCTAAAGACAAAGGGACGGATGCCAGATCTCAGGCCAATTTATACAAGGCCAAAAAAAAAAAAAAAAAAAGGAATAAATCTGAAAAGGATATGGTATCAACCTTCCTTTGACTGTCAATTGCTTCAAATTTCTTTCAAGAATGTTTCGTCGCTGTAAAAATTTAAGACAGGCAGGACGTTATGCAGAAACACTGGCTCTATTATTTTAACGCCTAGAAGCTCAACTTGTCTACTGCGGAAATTGAAAGCCGGGCACCCTCTAAATAACAAGAGCTTTGTTGACTTTACTGATCCTTTTGGAAGTGTCGAATTAATTTTCAGAATATTTAATTTAGAATTTTCTCTGAAGTGTTAATTTTACCAGACTAAGAGTAGTCTGGAAGGCCAAATCGTTTAAAATTCAAGAATTCAAATTTGATCACTTTCAAGGATAACGATCACATTCAACGATCACATTTGCATTCAAGACATGAAAATTAATCAAATTCAACAGGCATCTCGATTATATTCAAGGTCATACATCACATTCAACATGAACATTCCAGACATTCACATTTAACACATCGAAAATTAATCAAGTTCAACAAGCATCTCGATCACATTCAAAGTCACGCATTGTATTAAACAAACTATGGAAGCCGAATGCTGCACAATTTAAGAATTCAAATTTGATCACATTCATGGATATCGATCACATTCAACAAGCACCTTAAAAGTCAACAAATCCCAATTTGCTTTGCGCTACTGACTATGTAGCCCCGAGTGCATGCTGGGAGATATGATTTGCGAGTGAACTCAAAATGGCGGGAATGCCTGATGGAGAGTCCATTCGCAACGAGGTTGGCGCTTGCATTCGTGAGGAACTAAACAATTCTCAAGGAACTCAGACACTTGTTAACAGAACACGCAACTTAATCCGCGAATCAGCATCTTTTGCCGCGCGGAACTTGTTCGATAGTGAAGTGTTCAACCTTTGCCTCAGAATCAAAATTCCAAGTCGAAGCGACCCTTGCCAGGTCATCCCTTAAGATTTGGATTAAAAAAATCGAAGACGGCGACTCCCGAATCTATTCCAAAAAGTGTATACTTATTGGATGAGCCAGACGTTGAAGATGACGAGGAATACAGCTTGACGGAGTCGATGATTATCTTGAAGGGAGAGTGCGATCTTTTTTGCGTTGCCGATGAAAATGGCATACGATCAGAATTGGTTAACTTATTTAAAACAAAACTTCCATTCATAACAAATGGCGATTTCGACTTTCTCAGACGTGATAGGAATATTCTCTCTTGTCCTGTAGTAAAGAAGGAACATGTGTGGGATTCCAAACATGTAAAACATCTTTGCGGAACTGGACGCTTGTATGTCAGCCTCAATGTAAACACTAGTCGAGGATGAGGAAGGAAGTATCACCGAGACACCAGCTCCTGCTCCAAGTACAAGTTTGCCTTCGACCAGTGCTGAGGCTGAACCTAGTGGGTTACATGCTTTTAGTGGCCTTGGGGATGTCTCTGCAATCTCCCAGAACACTACATCAGATGCTGGCCTTAGTACTGTTTGTAGTGATGACGACGAGAATGAATTGAGACCTTCAAGGGCAATCAATTCACCACTTATAGATCAACAGAAAGTGGATAACCTTGCTTCAATCTTTCCTAGGATTCCAAGAGATGTAACTGAAAGTGCTGTGATGACAAGTGGCAGTTTGAACTCTGCTGTAAATGTTCTTTTACAGTACAATGCAGCAGGCAATGACCCTGTTGCTATTATTGACGACGACCACACTCCAGAAATCTCAAGTGGACCAGAAACTCTTCCTCAGATGCTGCAACGTTTAAAGTCAAAGATGCAACCAAGGGAACTCGTGAAAAGATCAAGGTTGATCAAGATGATCTAGTAATGGATGTTTATAGCTTCTATAAAAGTCCTGACTTTGACCCTACAATTCCTGTTTTTTTGTTACTAAAGGGTCAGCCAGCTATAGACAGTGGTGGCGTATTACGGCAGGTATTTGGTGATCTTTTTTATGCCATGGCAAGCAATGAAGGAATTAAGATTGTTTTTAATGGAGATAAAAACAGCAAAGTACCTGCATTCAGCAATGAACTGGTTGTGAATGGACTGTTTGAAGTGTTGGGTAAAATGATAGCTCACAGCCTCATCCAGTCAGGTCCAGGATTCCCATACCTGTCTCCTACCATTTACTGGTATCTGGCAACTGGTGATCTACAGATTGCCATCCAGAAGGCCACATGCTCAGATGTGGATGACATTGAACTTGCCGAGTACATCAGGAATGTAAGTTTATTGTTTGTTCTCTACAGTGAAACCTCTATTAAGTGGACACCTGCAGGACCTTTGCTGGAGTCTGCTTAATGAAAGCTTGTACAGAAAACATGCGAAGAAACAAAAAGAAAACAAATAGACAAACCATTTTTCTGCTTAAATGCGCTTTGGCTCAGTTTTTGTTCCTGGTTTAAATTTTTGTTTCTCTTAATTCGTGTTGACTGCCATACATTTACATACAATTGCAGCAGACAATAGTAATAGAAAGGGACATTTGATCATATCCTATACTTGCAGGTCACAGAAGCACCAGCAGAGGAGCGTAATGTCATTGCCTTTGAATCTGGCTTTATCAGATTGTTATCTGAAGCTGGAGAGAGTAGAATACTTACAGTAAGTAGAAACCTAATTTATTATATAGTAAAAGTTAGATAGGGCACATTTAGTTAACACTACTATTAGCTGTATGTGTTTTCTGCTAAGTGCCACATGGTTTAAATAGAGGAAAAGAAATTTATATTTTGCAGTTTGGAGGTCCGTTAAATTGTTGGTTAACTGTGAAAAGAAGTAGTTTTGTTAAAACATAGAAAAATGCTGATCAATATTCTGGTAGTTAAGCAGTGTGCCCTGCACCATGCTTGTTACAAATAATTCAAGCAACAGGTTACAATATTATTGTAACCTGTTGCTGTAAATAATTGACAGTAATAAAACAATTAAATAATGTATTCTTGCAGGCTGATAACAAGCTTGATGTCCTCCAGTCATGTTTCAAACCATTCTAGTGAAGAAGAAGGCAATTCTTGATCAATTTAGAAAGGGGCTGTCAATCCTTTGTTAGATGAAATACAAAGAAAGCCGGAAATTTTTGAAGAATGCTTTGTCTACCAAGGCATAGTAAGTAATGATTCTGTGGCCAGTAGCTAGCCTTCATTTCCCAGCCTCTGAGGACAAGAATGCTCAAAGGGTATACCAGTTGTTCCAGACATTCATCAAGAATTGTAATGCAGATGGCCTCGATGATTTGCTGAGGTTCGTCACTGGTACAAGGTGCTCAGCAAAAAGCATCCTTCCATGACGTATAACAGTCTCTTCTGAGAGTGCAAACAGCATTTTTGCATCAACTTGCTTGCTGGAGCTAAAGCTTCCAAACCATTTCAGAAATTATGCTGAGTTTGAGGCGGCAATGCATTCGGTGATTGGTGGAAACACATTCACAACAGGATGAAATGGCAGCGTGCAAGTAATGAATAGTCACAAATGTACTGTCTGTCCTTTGAAATTAGCCAATGTTGTTGTAAAAAAAATCCAGAGTTCAAATTGTTAGTTTGATGGGTGGTATACATAAAAGTTAGTCAATACAGTTCAAAGGTGACAACTTTTCAGGGTATGCTGCAGTACTGTCAGTTCCAGCATACATGTTTGGTGTTTTAAGTGTCACTATCACCATAAGGTTTGAACTTAAACAAAAGAGCTGTAACTCTGTATGACAATTCTACTTTGGACTGAAAGAAAAGGAAAAAAATAGCGTGAAAAGTTATGCTGTGCACTTAGCCCTTCAATTCAGTGACAATGTAAGAACCTTTTTTAGTAAGTGTAACACAAAGAGGCCAGTAGACCTTTTTACTAATACAGTGACCAAGTGGAATAACTTAGTTTTAGAGGCTGTCACGTGATACCTAGAGGGCACACAACAAGCGTCTGTTTTTCTCAAGAATGCATCTTTTTTGCTGTATTCGAAAAGGATTCTAAAGGCAATCTTTGTGTCTATTTGGGTACTGCCAGTTTCCTGGAAAACAAGAGTTATGGTACCCTGCGAACAGAGTCTCCTTCGACTCATCTAGGAAAGATCGAAGCGACTCTGCTAGCAGGGTAGAGTTATTACATCTACTTTCAAATAGACAGACAATCATTTTTACACCCAAACATGGCACAAAAGTGAATTTTCTCATTGGAATCCTATTTCAAACAGAATTTTCAGGAATTTGTCAAGAAATTAGCACGGTTTCAGAAAATTAAAGCACCTGTGCATCCTTTTTATCTCATAACAGTCCTTAAAATTTAATTATTCATTTTGGCTGCCATAATGGTAAAAATTGTTTAGTGATGAATTGAAATAACATCACTTTCAGGGATGCTATTGTGTCAACAACTTTATAGCATCGTGTCTAATGGACATTTTTATTACATTGCAAATCTCTCTTTCTAAGAGCCTTTTTTTACTTGATGTTGTTGTTGTTGTTGTTGTTGTTGCTGTTGGCGAGGAAGATGAGGGGGTGAAGATTAAAACAAAGTTGTCCCTCTTGTATAGGTTGACCTGTTTTTAGTAAGGACATCCTCTCTTCCTGTAAACAGGCCCAAAGTGGGTGCCAAACATTTATATGTGCATTGTATTCTGTCATACGTGACATACCATAACTTAAAATAGAATTAATACAAGACAATGTAATGTAGTAAAGTCACCATTATTGTCTTGACGTTTATAATAATGCTTTTATTTTGGCAAGATACAGTGTTGGGAGTTCAATATTTTAGATGCATTACTGTTAAGTTCCTGTCCAGTCCCATTGAGTAAATGAAAATAAAATATGTTCATCATTTCACTCCCTGAGTGACGGAAGGTGGCTCTAACATTTTGAGTTCGTGGATGAAATCATGTGATGTGACCATTATTGTCTTAAGCAGTATTTTCACATAAGACTGTCTGTTCTCCAGCATAATTATGCAAAACAAATTTGGAATTTTTGTCAAATACTAGCTCCTGCCATTTCTGGGAGGAATGATTAAAATAACAAATGATATACAAATAATTATGACTGAAATAATATTTTAATGTTGTTTAAGTTGAAGTTTGGTGAGAAAGGCAACTGATTGTTTTAGATACATAGTGCTTTGTTCCTGTTCAATCCCAAATGTTAAATGTCACTTGATATTAAGAGAAAAAAAAGCTCTATTAAACTAAAAGTTTAAATAGTTTACAAGAGATTACATAATGCACTTTCAACTTTTGTGTCTCTGGCACTGAGACTGGATCCTTTGATCTCATGATAAAACGAGTGTCAAGCCCTGGCATTTGAAACTTCTTTGACATCCAGTTTCTTTTAACAGTGAAACAAATTCTGGCTACATCTTGACTGCCAAAGTTATCCCAAACTAGTTAGATTTACAAAATTGCGACTCTACTGGATTGCTCAGGCCAAACCCCTAGAAATTTTGAAGAGGGTAATTTATGAATTGCTTCATTCTTTCAAACATAAATAAGCTCACCAATGCCTTGACCACAATGTTGTGAAAAGTGAAAGGGCCTTCATGTACAAATCAATTCCAAAACTGTTCGAAACTGCAAGGGGATCAATGCTATTTCTTAATAGTGATGACATCGTCCTCATTGTCTATATCAACATCATCTAATTCAACAGTTGATAGACCATCATCATGCGGTCTAGGTGCGTATGGGTCAAACCCATACCACTCTAGGTCTACTACCTCTCTGATGTTTGAGTCGGCAACACTGACTCCATCCTGATTGCTATATTCTCTCGAGTGGATACGTTGGCTGTATTATGCCTATATTGCTCATAGTCGTCTAAGAGTTGAACAATCGACTCAAACACTCTCATCCATAATCCGCATATTCATCATGATCACTGTCCATGCGAGGGAAATGGACGGCGAAGCTTCTCTTTGGGGTATACAGTATTAGTAGGGTATTCATGGGTACACAGGATATATAGGGCTATACAGGGTATACAGTATTACTAGGGTAAGCATGGGTGCACAGGATATATAGGGGTATATAGGGTATACAGTATTACTAGGGTAAACATGGGTACACAGGATATATAGGATTATACAAGGGTATACTTGTTATATGCTGGTATTATAATCTATTGCACTAATATATTAGGGAGTCTATGTGGAGACTGCCATGAATTACTTGCCCTTTGCACCTGCAACTTATATTTCCCAGCATGCACTCAGGGGCTACGTCGACACCAGCGCAAAGCATATTGGGATTTGTTGACATTAAAAAAATTCATTATTGAATGTGAATGCTCAGAGTGCTGTTTGAAGGTACCCCTCAATTTCTTTTAGGGGATGGGGCTGCTGCACACAGGCTACCTTGAAGGTAATATGTGACCTTAAATATGATCAGGATATTTGTTGAATGTGATTGTTGGTTTTCATATGATGAAATTGAATTTGTTTGTTGAATATAATGCGTGACTTTGAATGTGATCGAGATGCTTGTTGAACTTGATTAATTTTCGATGTGTTGAATGTGAATGTCTGGATTGTTCATGTTGAATGTGATGTATGACCTTAAATATGATCGAGATGCCTGTTGAATTTGATTAATTTTCATGTCTTGAATGCGAATGTGATCGTTGAATGTGATCGTTATCCTTGCATGTGATCAAATTTTGCACCATTTGGCCTTCCATAGTATGTAGTCCCCATTCTTCCTCAGGGAAATTGGTCACGCGCGCTCGCCTTTCGCTCGCTCTACTATTCCTGAGGAAAATGGGGACTAATCGTGGTCTATTATTTTACGTGATCAAGAGCGAGACATTTGTTCGTAACCTAGGTGCCCGTTACGAAACAAGACATGATTTAAAATCAACAAACGTCAAAATGCCCCCGAACTTATCAATGTGCACAGGTTTCGGTTTTTAAGCAATAGCCCTTTGGCTCGTGATTTACAAGCTTTTCTTGCGTTCTCCCAACATCCCACGTGGGTTATCACGCTGGTAAACCCATAGAAAGTGTGGTCTATTGCTTTTATAAGTAACTTTAAGTAAACTATAAGTTTACCGGCACAATAAACCATAGGTTTCTAGCCAATGAGAAGGCACGTACTATCTTTAGTTATTTTATAATTCGAAATAGCAACTCGATTACAGCTAATGAAGATGTTGCGAATAGTTATATTGACGCTTATATGTATATTCATCTGTTGTGCCTTTGCTGGAGACAGTTACCAGGAATCTAAACCTGGAAATGAGAAAGGCAAAAGCGAGGTATTAAAGCGGTAATTATCGCGTGACAAAACATCGTAGGAAACCGTCACATTCACGGACTAAAAGAAAATTGCTTACAATTATTCGGATCTAGGAGGCACTTTGGAAAACAATTAAACAACCTAAAACCCTGGTCTTGTAGTGGACGAATTCCCTGAGCTTGCGGTGTATTCAAATCGCGAATCGCGCGGATGGTTTTCAGAATACTGTAGTCCGGAACAGCCCAGCAGCCTAAATGAAAACTACGTAGGTCTCTCTGTTTTTCACGAAAATCTCAACTTATCGAATATCTGGTACGATTACGACTGTTTCTACTTCGGCACAGAAATCGACATTTCTAAACAATTATCAAATTTTCTTTGAAGAATTTGATGAGAATTCTTTGAAAACATTTTACCGGCTGGGCTGCAAAAAGTATCGAGACACGGCGTGTAAAAGTTCTCTCATTTTCCGCTCTTTTTCAATCCTTTGCACTTGAGCAATGTTTTGATATGTTCTACATCATATTTTCCTGGACGTTCCTCGAATTTCAAATTAAACTGGAACGCTCCTAAAAACGCTAAAACGGCGAGCAGAACTGATCGCAAACTGTCCTTTTCCATACAGCGTTCTTGCTACCTCTGGTAGAAATGGCCAATGTTTGTCTGAGTCTCGTTGGGGGTCACGTTTTTGTGACGTCATCTGTGTGCAGCGCCATTGATGATTGCAAAACCAACCAGTGGCTCAGAAGTACAAGACTGAAAGCTGAGACAGAGGGTCTGATAAATGCAGCCCAGGACCAGAACCTCCCTACCAAGTCTCACATCGCAAGAATATGTGA